TTCCACGCCCGCAGCCCCCGGCCACTCCCTCAGGCCCCCAGTCCACTCCCCTCTCAGCCCCCTGTTCACTACCAACCCCTGACCCCCGGCCACTCCCTCAGGCCCCATCCACTCCCAGTCCCTGACCCCCAGCTCAGAGCCCACCTCACCCCTCTGGAGACTCAGGCCCCGCTACAGGCCCTGACCCTGACGCGTCAGGACCCACTCCCAGTCCCGAGTGTGGCTCAACTGTCACCTGTCACTTGCACAAGCCAGTTCCACTGCCAGGCTCTGGAGGCCACGAGGCCATGTAGAGCGGGCAGGCCTCCCCATGGCCTGAGGCTTCACACTCTGCACCCCATGGCCCGCCTCGCGCTGTCACAGGTGTGAGCGACTCCCTCTCCCACGTGGGCAGTGAGACCGTGAGCAAGTCCTGGACCTCCCCGCGCCGGCTTCCTCCTCTGTCCTGCGGAAAGAGAGTGCTACTTCCTTCGGGGGCTGTGGCAAGGACACACGGGACAATCTGCTCAACAGCACATGTGACCCGCAGCCCGTCAGCTGCCACGGCCTTCTGCCATGCCCATCCACGCCAGGGTCACTGCACTACAAGGGCTCTCCCAGGAGGCTCCGGGCAGAGACCCTGTGCCAGAGCCTGGGTGGGAGAGGACGGGAGGGGCAGAGCTGCCTGGAGTCACAGGGCCGACTGACCCTGGAGCTCTCCCGCGGCTGCCACACTTCGTAAGGAAGCAGGGCTGCCATTGTTTTACCAGCACTTTGCTGCCACTGTCTCCCGGCGTCTGCGGGTGAGACACACTCGGTGGCACTAGGGTGGCTGGAATGCACACGGGCTGTACCCTGGGCCTCCGGCCAGTGTCTGCCTGCCCCAGCTTTTCCCTAGCTCAGCATTCACTCGTCAATCAGCAGACGGAGCAAAAACGCGCGGCCCTCACCCAGCTCACTCAGAACACGTGATGACGCTGCGGGGGGAGTGTCCCAGGTCCCCGTTCCGCACCGTGCAGCCCCCGACCCGGCTGCCGAGGGAGCACCAAGTCCCCGCTCTGCCAGCGCTGGAATGCACCGCTTCGACAGGGTTACAAAGGCCACACATGCACAGTGAAGTGAACGCCTGGCCCACTGGCCCCTTAACCAAGAGGGCGGGCAGCACGTTCCTCGGGGCTGGGACAGGGGCGACATGCAGGCCATGGTGACAGCACCGGGTACGGACCCAGCCCTGAAGACTACACAGCGCCTGCATGACCCTCTGCGTTCAGCAACGGCACTTCCTCCCACCCCACCCGGGCTGGTCTCCCTGCCTCTCCTCCGAGAAACAGACACTGGGAAGGTGACAGGTGCTGCTCACAGGGGCCTCCACCTGGAGCCCCCGCCACCCCCCTGTTGGAAGAGTCGGAGCAAAAACCAGGGCGCCTGGGCTTGAAGAGCCAGCCAGTGGGAAGGGCCCGGGTGGGCGGGCTGCGGTGGGGCTGAAGTCTCTACCACACGCCAGCCTGGCCTTTGCCAGGGGCCCAGCAACCGCTGTCGTCTTGTCAGGCGGGCCTGGAAAGGAGCCCAGGGCGCTGCGGGCCCCTGCGGGGGCCTCTCCCAGCCGCTCAGACCTCGACTGCACCAGCGCCCAGCGGGCGCGCCCCAGACAGGGCTGCCTTGAGCAACCTGCGGTGTGCTGGTGAGTCCAGGCTCGGCAGCGCTCCCGGCCCGGTCCAAACGGGACGGGCGCACCCTGTCATCACTCAGAGGCAGAGGCTGGCCCAGATCTGGAGGGCAGCGTCGACGCCCTTCTCGGTCGCGGTAGGGGCTGGGGAC